CCCTCTCCCCAAGAGGTTTACAGCAAATTGGTGGTTCTTAGGGCTAAGGAGTAAACCATTAACCCACATACAACAGGGTGACTGTTCCATATGTGAGGAATTTGATTTTTAAGAGATGAAAATCTGTTATATTTCAGACTATTAGAATGGGAGAATATATTTTACCCACTAGTTTTTGTAAATAACCTTTTTTACATTTACTTAATAATTTATTCATCTTATTTTTTTTAATCTATAAACTAGTGTGTGTCATGGTGTGCATGTGGAAGTCAGAACAGCTTGTAGAAGTTGATGTTCTCCTTTTACTGTGTAGATTCTGGGGATCGAACTCAAGTCATCAGCTTGGCAGAAGGTACCTTTACCACCTGAGCTATCTCAATGGCCCACAGACTTTTAAATATTTACATTTCAAGGGCTGGAAGTATAGGTCAGTAGTAAAACACTTGGCCTGGCATGCCTGGGGTGGATCTCCAGCACCACAAATAATATAAATAAAATAAAATCCCTAAATATTTACATTTTCTTCATACTGGAACTTTTTCCTTCTCTCATTCTAAATAAAGTCTTTCTAGAACTCTGTCGTCTTAAATTTGTGTTACAGTGTCTGCTGCATATTCATCTTTCCTGGTCTCACACAAGTTCAAGATCCACCCCACACCCGTGTGCGTGTACGTGTGTGTGTGTGTGCGTGTGCGTGTGCGTGCGTGTGTGTGTGTGTGTGTGTTGCGCCCTGGAGTGAAGTGCATGTGTGCTTCTGTGTGTGTGGTGGATTTAAGGTTCACTGTGTGTGTTGTTTCTCTACTAGGGATCACCCCAAGGCCTAATGCATACTAGGCAACCATTCTTCACCTGAGCTCAATCCCCAGCCCTGTCCTGTGTTTTAGTCATTTCCGTGCCCCATCCTTTCTGCTTGGACAACTTTTCAAGGGTTCTGTTTAGCTTTCACTGACCCTTTACCATATGTTCTTTCCCTTTCCTGCTATTCTAAACACTCTGCTTTCTGGTGTTTTCTCATATTGTGTTGATACTGTGTCAGTCATAACCACCTCAGTGAGCTTATAGGTTCTGTGAATTCTAAGAACAATGTTTAGCCCATTTTATTTTTCTTTGATACTTGGTTTGCTTCTAAGTACACAAGTTTAAAAATGTTTATTAGGCTCCAAAGGTGCTTGGTAAGGCCCTTGCCTTTCAAACAATAGGACCTGAGTTGGCTTTCCAGAACCCACTTAAAAATTGTCAGGCAAGGTGGGGTATGTTTGTGACCTCGTAAGTCAGGAAGATCCTTGGAACTTACTGGCCAGCTAATGTAGCCTAATTGGTGAGTCCAGCCAGAGATCCTGTTTTAAAGATGAAAGACATTCCTGAGGGTAACACCTGAGGTTGTCCTCTGGCTTCCACATGTATATGTATATATACTTGCATATGCACCTGTACAAATGCATAAACAATTCATTGAGGTGAGAATCCTGGGCTTGTTTGATGCCTATCAAGAAGTAAATGAAAGCCTCATTACTGTTTTATTCAGCAGCAAAGTCTATATAGGAAACAAAATATGGGGGGTTTGGTTTTGTTACTATCTTTTGGTGGTGCTGAGGATTTACCCCAGGGCCTTGCATAAACTGGGCAATCTCTTCACTGCTGCGCTATCGTCAAGCCTGAAGTTCTTATATAGTGTAATATTTTATATGATCTATAATTTCAGATTTTCATTATGATTTGTTAGTTTCCTTAGCTCTATAAGTAATGAATGCAAAGAAGTCAGAGGCAACACCATCTTAAGAAATTTGAGGAATATGCAATAAAGTGGTTCTAAGTTTGAACAGAATTGCTAATGACATGTTTTAATAGTCCATAGTTGCCTAGATCTTCCATGCTTCAATATGTTTTCACAAAATAAATTGTTCAGATACAAATAAATGACATTAAATTTGTAGTAATACCACTTAATCACAATGGGCAGCTGTTTCAGAACTATTGGTACTATTTCATTGTTCATTTATTTTTTGTAATTAGAAGGAATATTGAGATAGAATACATACACTACAGTATTAAGTGGTTGTGAAAGCCTCATCTTCTTCTGAATAATAAACACTACTTCCTAGAACAGGAGTCCACATGTCTCATCCTTAGTGTTACACATTGCATTCTTACTGATGTTTTGCTTTTGGCACCTTTTGCATTTGAGTGAATTTTGTGAAGTAGGAATATTCTTTTGCATATATATATATATATATATATATATATATATATATATATATATATAGTCTGTTGTTGGAATTCGCTTGGGTCCGGCAGTTGTTCTAGAATCTATTCTTAGAGGGTAGGAATTCCTATAGAATTTAAAGGTCTCTTCAGTAGGTTTGATGCATTTTTCTTGGTACATCCTTACCGTCCCTTTGCAGCCTGAAAACACTAGAGATGTTCTCAGTAGACTGAACTGTCAGAAGGACAGCCAGTACTTAGGAGCCAAGAAACATGGAACATGGCCTATTGCAGAACCACAGTGGGATTTCACATAACACTGGCTTCTAATGTCCCCAGGGAACCAAACTGAATTGCTAGGGCAAGACAGGAGGGACACCAATGAAACAAAAGTCTTTTTTTTTTTTTTTTTAAGGCACTCTAAAGAAATTACTATCTTTTTCACATGTGACTCTGAGATGACAGTGTATCAGGCTCAGGGTGTAGCTCAGTGGTAGAATGTTTGCATAGTCTAAGTGAGGTCCTGGGTACAATCCCCTATCACCACCAGTAATAAGTCCAGTTTTGTTTGTTTGTTTTTTGTTTTGTTTTTTATGTATACAGTGTTCTGTCTGCATGTATGCCTGCAGGCCAGAAGAGGGCACCATATCTCATTATTGATGATTGTGAGCCACCATGTGGTTGTTGGGAATTGAACTCAGGACCTCTAAGAAGAGCAGCCAGAGCTCTTAACCTCTGAGCCATCTCTCCAGCCCAAGTCCAGTTTTGTATTAAGTAGAAATTTAAAATCAGAGAGGTTAAGAAATCCATCACAGTTGCTCAGCTAGTAAGTAGTTGGTTTAGACTTTGTACCCCTTTAGTGCTGGTTCCATAATTACATAGTTTCCTCTTGGTTGCATTGTATAAGTATGTGAAGCCAGAGAAAGAATGACACAGAAAATGGAAGCTTCATATAAGACAAATTTGCAGATCCTTTTGGGCATTCTCTGATCTGCATTTCCTGCTAGGGCTTATATAGCAGTCCACTTTGAAAAATAACAGATGAAACACTTAAAATCTGTTTTGGTTGCCCCGTTTGGATATGGTGTTGGGCAGTTTCCTAAGACTTAAGGGGTTATCATCATCTCTTTGATGTTTGTATTTTAAAACAGCAGAATTATCTGCTGGAGCTAAACAATCTGCTTCAGAATTTTAAAGTTCCATAATTTGATGATTATATCTCTCAGTAGTTGAGGAAAATTGTTTGATAGGCTTTTTTTTTTTTTTTTTTTTTTTTTTTCTCCTTCTTCCCAATTTAAGTTTTCTCTGATGCTGAGAGTAGAAGCCAGGTCTTTATATGTGTTACTCAAATGAACTGCATCCCCAGCAATTTGTACTTATTGTGTTATCCTCCCTTTCCACACACACACACTACCCTTTGTCTCATTAATGAAAGAGTAATGTATTAAGGAGCAGAAGTTGTAGGCAGATAGCAGGTACCTATCATGACACATTGTAGAAGCATTTACCTCCTACCTTACTATGTACCTAAAGTTCTTTCATAGAAAATGTTCTTATGTGTCACCCCTCTCCCTCCCTCCTTCCTTTATAAGAAAAATTAATGAACAAAATTTAAGTGGGAACGTTAGGTGTGACTTTTCATATCACATACAAGCATATGCTTTCTTTTGCTTTGTAGCATGCTTATGGAAAACATTTTCCTAGTAGTGTTCTTTCTTTATAAATTATAATTATCCTTTATTACTAACATTCACTACTTAGTTATGATTTGTTTGCCTATGAGGTTACCCTTTGTGTGATCTTCTTTTGTCTATAGTACACACAGGACTAATATTGATGAACTACAGCAAGCAGGAGGCCTCTACCCTCTGTACCCCATTCTCTCTGCCCCTGCTTGCTGGCTGATGGTCTGCAGCCCCGCCTTTGGTAGCTTCTTTCTCCTTTTCTCCTTTTCTCTCATTTTTGATTTGTTCTAAATGGGCAGGAGAAGTAGGGGCTTCTTAGTGGATTTGTGGAAATTATCTTGTGGGATCAAAGATTGAAGAACTTAGTTTGACCAAATCAAATGTGTTTGTAAGCATTTGGAACAAAGTCTCTCTAAAAGTCTAGAACTATGGCTATGTAATTTGTAGGACTAAAGGATAGTCTGCTGTCTCCCTGTATCCTATGTATATATTGAAATGCAGATTTGTAGACTTACTTTCCCAATAAATATAAAGTAGAGGAGTGATTTTGTTTTTCTTCATATTATTTTCACTAGTAAATAAAGGCCCAAATTTAAATTTTGTTTGCCGTGCTTGCATTTCAGCATGATCACTTGGTAGCTGAATTAAAGATTACTTTGGCCTCCTCACTTAGCCCAAGCAAAATTCTTGTTTCTGCCTGGTGGTGGTAGTGGCAGCAGCAGACGTGTTTAGATGCTAGTAAGTGCAAATGAATGGACTGGAAGAGGGCAAGAACTGTCCCGAGGTTTCTTTGTTTGTCTTTTCTTCTCTCAGTCTATGTACCCTGGTTTTTACATTTTTTACTGGCCATTTCTGTTTTATATGTAAAGTAAAACACAAAAACAAAAACAAAAAAGTTTCCATTGTTTTCCTTTGTAATGCAAGTAGCATTTTAATGGAGCCTCTCTCTGTGTCCTACAGGCATTGATTAGATTCATTGTGCTCTCCTTTGTGGAATACATACAGTCTTGCTGCAGTGAGCTGAGGATCTGCATAGTATTTGGAGAACAGCAGGACACTTTGATAAAGACTTACCGACTTCATCTTTAATGCGCTTTTCTTTTTGTTATCTAGTTGCTGATCATCTGGGCTGTGATCCTCAAACACGGTTCTTTGTCCCTCCTAATATCAAACAGTGGATTGCCTTGCTGCAAAGAGGAAATTGCACCTTTAAAGAGAAAATATCACGGGCTGCTTTCCACAATGCGGTTGCTGTAGTCATCTACAATAATAAATCTAAAGAGGAGCCAGTCACCATGACTCATCCAGGTAAACAGGAAAAAGGGCTTTAGATTTTGTCTTTCTTTTTTTAAATTATTGCTTTGTGCATTCTTATACCTTTGGTGAAACCATAACCATGATTATATTAACTTTTAGTATTGCACTTGTAGAGATACATGTCTCTCCCCCCCCCCCCCAGTTGTTTTTCTTTAATAATGATAATGACAAAAAAAAAATCTGTATAATGGCTGGCTGGGATTGATCTCATGGTAGTTTTGTTCTTCTGCTCTTTGTGTGAGGACTTGTTATCCTGTGCTTAGTATGGAGTCCTTCTCTATACTGCTGTGCACGCTCAACAGTTACCTGTCCAGGAGGGGTTCTTTCTATGTCATTAGACTAAGTGTTGAAGCTGCATTAGTAATGAGTGCATACAGCAGTAAAATACCATTTCTTCATTTCTTGTGTGAAGTACTTAGAGTAATTGTTTGTATAACAATAGTTGTGATTTACTGAGCATTTACTCTGTGTGTGTGTGTGTGTGTGTGTGTGTGTGTGTGTGTGTGTATGTGCGTGTGTATGTGCCCACCATTTGCTGTGGGTTCTTAAGAACAGTTGCTACTCTTGCAGAGAACCTAAGTTTGTTTATAAGCATCTGTGTCAGGTGGCTCACAACTGTCTGTAACTCCAGCTCCAAGAGATCTGATGCCCTTTTATCTTCTGGAGACACACATACACACCCAGAGTGTATGCACATACATACAAATAAATAAAAATAATTAAAAGCAAATAGATGTTTGGGGCAGTCCTTATAGTCATGTATGATGTAGGTTCTTCCCCAGTCTTACAGAGCCAAAGACTAAAGCCAGTAGAGACTGCAAAAGAGGGTTAGACCCAAGTTTACTAATGTCTATTCAGTTTCATGAGCCTGGCTCTGAGCTTCTGGGATTTAATTTAGCTTTACATTCATGAAGATTATAATATCTTACTTAAGAAATTGCCTTTTTTAAAGAAAATACCCCAAGTTTTGTTTGTTTTTACATTTATTTGTGTGTGTGTGTGTGTGTGTGTGTGTGTGTGAGAGAGAGAGAGAGAGAGAGAGAGAGAGAGAGAGAGAGAGAGGAGAGAGAGAGAGAACGAGAACAACTAAAGGAGTAGATTCTTGCCTTCCACAGGGTGGGTCCTGAACAGGTGGATCCCAAGAGCTAGATGATCAACCAGCCTAGCTAAAACTTCTTGTACAGACTTCTTGTACAGAAAGAAACTCTGACTACAATCAGTAAAAGGACAGTAGAGGAAGATTCCAGACGCCCTGCATATATGTACTTGCATAGTCACATGCATGCACTACACCCCCACCCACATGAAGAGCAGGAAGTTTGTCAGATAATGCAGAGTTCTCATCTGCACTTCTCACAACATCCATTTATTCTGAGATGCTGTTGAGGGCCCAGTGAAGAAAAAAATGTAAAGCAAAGTTTTGGGAAATGCTTGGAGGGCCTTCATGTTCATTGTTATATTGAGGTCTCTGAGATGTCTTAGAGGGAATAACTCTTTGATAAAACCATTTGCTGGACTTGTTTGACCACATAATTCTTTATCATCAGTTATAGTAACAAAAATAAAGAGGTTTAGAAGTAGAATATGGGGTGAATTCCCAAGGAACTGCAACTTCTATAAAGCAAATAATAGATGTGTACATAAGAGTAATGGCAAATAGCATTGCATTGTGTCTAGAAACATATTGTGTAGTCCCATTTAGAGAAACTTTATATATCAATAATAAGATAAACCTAATGTTACAATAGAGAAAGAGTTTAGTGGTTAGACATTTCAGTTATTATTAGAAAAACTACAATCTAAACAATAAGATACTATTCCACACCCATTGGAGTAAATGTAACTGCTTTTGGGAATGTGGAGCCAGCTTGGAAAACAGTTCAGCAGTTTCTCTAAAGTCAAGCACAGATTTACCATGTGAGCCAGCAGTCTTAGCAGCCAACACAAGAGAAACTGAAAAAGGAAAGCAAACAAGAGGGGGAAGTGTCACAAAAGCATACATTTAACTGTCCTAGTAGAGTATTTCAAATAACCAAAGTAGAAACAACCAGGATACCCATCAGCTCATGAGTTAAGTAAATAAAACAATTTATGTCCATACAGTGAAATGCAATTTATCAACTAAGTGGAATTAACTGAACTACAGGAAGATTGCTGTGGACTAGGGGCCAGACTTGACTATATATTGAGTTTTAGGCTAGCCTGGGCTACAAAGTGAGGCCTTGTCTCAAAACCCCACTGACAAATGGCTAAACCTTAGAAGCAGTATGTTAAATAGAGGAAGCCAGACATGAAAGCCAACTATTGCCTGGCACCAGCCTACATAAAATACCTAGGAAAATCAGATTTAGGGAGAAGAAAAGCAGGGTCAATGGGTGTGAAGGATAACTATTCATTGAATGTGGGGGGACTTTCTGGGCATGACAGGAGTTTCCTGAACTTGGATTGTGGTGGTAATTGTACATTGCTATAAACTTACTGAGTTGTACACTTCAACATGTCAGTCTGGGATGAAGAGATAAGGCTCAGTGGCTAACTGCACTCACCACCTGCAACTCCAGATCCAGGGGACATGGTGCCCTGTAGCTTCTGTATATACCTGTACCCATATAGAGACACATACATTTTTTAATCTTAAAAAAAATATATATAACCTATGGCATGTAAATTATGTTTCATTAAAACTAATTATTAATGCAGACTAAAGATCAAAAATAGCATAAGATAAATTTCTGCTGAGAACTTGTCGTTTTATTCTAATATTGAGGGAACATGAGACAAAGCAAACTCATTAAAGGAGAATAAAGTCACAGGAATACTTAGTCTGCTTTATTTTTCTATATTTGGCAAAATAAGAATTGGTTTTTTGTTTTGAGTTTTGTTTTGTTTTGTTTGTTTGTTTGTTTTGAGACAGTTTCTCTATATAACCACCCTGGCTGCCCTGGAACTTGCTCTGTAGACTAGGCTGGCCTCAAACTCACAAAGATCCACCTGAAAATAAGATTATATATCCTCAAATAATCTTTCTTTGATACATCGTCAAGTGTTCATAAGATAGCCTGTTGTTACTTTTATTCCCATTTTAAGTGTTCAGAGTAGAAATTAAAAGCCTGTAAGGGTAAAACCTATATTTAAAAGTGGACAGGTATAAAACAGAGAAGTGCTTTGCCTCCTGATTAGTAAAGATATGTCAGGTGTCTCTGAGAGTTAAACTGAAAGATTAATGACAGATCCAAAATCTGCTTGGTCAGAATGGTCAAAACACCATTACGGTGTTTTATTTGAATAAAAGTTACATAATTATTTAGAGAAAAAGCATGAATATAGTCTTAATAAAAAGCAGTAGGGATAAATTGATCAAAAAGATTTCTGCAATATAATTCTACTTCAAAGATTTGACAATGATAACCTATTTTATTTGGGAATGTGGTAATTATCTGCCAAGAAGGCTCATCTTTGCATGGAAAAGGCCTTAGGTTGTTTTTTGTTTTTTTATTTTTTTGTTTTAGTTTTCGAGACAGGGTACTAGCTCCTAGCTCGGTAGACTAGGCAGGTCTCTGTCTCCCAAGTGCTGGGATTAAAGGTGTGCACCACCAATGCCCGACTTCTAGATTGTTTATTGCTTGATAGGAGAGTTTTGCACTGTTTTGTTTGAACTCCTAGGCTGTTGTGAATTGTTTCCTGTTTTCACAAACCAAATCAATTCTTCCTCTCAGCCTGTTCAGTTGGTATGCTGCTTGTTACATACTTAATGCTTTTCTTAGGGTTTTTATTGCTGTGAAAAGACACTATGACCACTGCAACTCTTATAAAGAAAACTTTTTTTTTTTTTTTTTTTTTTTTTTTTTTTTTTTTGAGACAGGGTTTCTCTGTAGCTTTGGAGACTGTCCTGGAACTAGCTCTTGTAGACCAGGCTGGTCTCAAACTCTTGGAGATCACCTGCCTCTGCCTCCCGAGTGCTGGAATTAAAGGCATGCACCACCAGCTAATTTGATTGAGGTGGCTTGCTTACAGTTTCAGATGTTCAGTCCATTTTCATCATGATGGGGAGCCAGGCAGCATGCAGACCAACATGGTGCTGGCTATAACTTGACCAAAAGGCAGGAGGAAGTCAACTGACAGTCACACTATGTGGTACCCTGAGTAAAGGAAGCCTCAAAGCTGGTCCCCAGAGTGACACACCCTCCAACAAGGCCATCAACATAGCCACACCTCATAATGGTGCCACTCCCTTCGGGGGCCATTTTCTTTCAAATTACCGCACTACCATCACAAATACACGACAGTGATTTTTGTTCCGCTTCTGTCCCAGCCTCTTCTGTTTTGTTCTAGTCTCCAAATCATGTCTAAGAGTTTGTCAAACAGGGTTAGGAAGATTGCTTGCCTAGTAAGCCTGATAACTGGAGTCCAGATCCCCAGAACCCACATAAAAGCTGGGCACAGTAACACATTTGTAATGCCTCTACCAGGAAATGGCAGGCAGAGATAGAATCACCAGAAGCCCATGGGCCAGATAGATAGCTGGTGTGGGCAGCAGTGGACAAGAGAGGCCCTGTCTTGAACAAGATGGAAGAGTAGGGGGTAGCATCCAAGCTTGTGCTCTAATCTCTACATTTGTGCCACATCCTACATGCTCGCACTCCTGTACACTGATAGGCACACACACAGTTTCTAAGTTTATCACAGACTCCAAATTTGTTGCTCTATTTGTAGAAACAAAAGTAGGTTTCATCTTTAAAATTGTGAAAAAGAATTTAACAATTACAATATTGGAGTTTGAATCTTATGTTCAGTTGTAATTACAAGGCTTGTGTGTTTGAACAAGTAACTCTTTAAAATATATCCTCATTTGTAAAACACCTGAAAAGTATCTGTCTGCTTTATCTGCCCATCAGAGTGAGTGTGACAATTATTGATATATATTTACTCCTTTAAGTTTAAGGCTGGCATTTGTTTTGTTTCAAAGCATATTTGTCTTTATTTTTTGACAT